AAATGGTGTACATATTCCTTTGTCTATGACTCGATTTCATTTCTGACGTCAGTTTGTATGCCTGTTCTGTTCTGCTCATATAATGTGTATCCATAGAAAACTATATAGTATGTTGTCAGTGTTTATTGGATTCAAATCAATGAATGACGTTCGACTGTATTTGATGATGATCGCGTCGGTGCAATATTTTGTTCAGTTGAACAATCACAAATCTCATACAGTAAATTGTGTTGAATGCTATAATTCCCCCCCCCACACATTAGGTATCAAGTATGCCTTTCCAACACTCGAATTTCAGGATATTATTCAAAATCATCGACAAAACATTATAAGTAAACTGGGGGTTAGTGAAGACTGTAGTGATGTTAATAGTTGAAATCATGAATTGATTTAATCCAAACCACCAATGAAGACCTGGAGGCACTGAATGGTCTTTTTGCTCTAGTATGGGACTCCTAAACAGTGCGAATCCACGACACTTAACACGGGGCTTGAACCTGGGACCTTAAGTCTCGTTCGCGGAAGTTTAACCTCCAGAACACCTGGCCGGTATTTAACAGTGTTGGTGTCTAAATTCAATCAGCTCATGGCATTACGCGACTGTCCACCACTGTCTTCAGTGAGTAACGGCTTCACAACAGACGCAGTTGTACTCCATTGGCCGCGGCTTCTCACTAGAATTCCCGGGAATCCATCTTGAAGCCACTCATAATTGACGCCAGTTATTAGTGAGAATATGGCAACTATCAGTATGGAGTTGTGAAGATTGTTGAGTTTAAATTGATGTCACGAATGGAGGAGTCCTATACTGGGACGAAATGGCCATCCAGTGCCTCTAGGTCTCCAATGGTGGTCTTATTTATCGGGCGGTAACTCACAAGGTCAGTCTGGCTTCACTTAAAGGTCGTCCAAAAATTATGGTCTCACCTGAAATTGTCCATCACTTTCTTAGAGAAGGTTACTTAAGTAGGGATTCATGAACCACACAGTGTATTACATACACATTTTTGTTTTACATGGTTCATGTCAAAATATTTCAGTCAGTAGTTATTTAGCGACAGTTCGATAACCGAGTTTATTCATGTTTGAAGTGTTTTACGTTTGTATTGCTGAGAAATAATCATCTACGCAACTGTCTATGCTCGGATGTTTTGTTTTTCAGGAATATTGTCCAAAGTGAGAGAAAACCGCGTGGAACAACATTCTTCTAGTTGTTGTCGAGAGAGAAACTCCTTTATTAGATTTGATTAATGAATATTGTTTGGAGGTATATGTATTTTGAACTCTCATTGGTAGCTTACCTTAACTTGACATAAAATCAGTATGTATAACTTAATTATGTTAAAACATGTATTGCTTGATCAATCTATCATATTTCGTTGTTTATTTTGATGGTTCTTTTTATGGTAAATTCAATGAGTGTTAAATGTTAATACTATAATTAGGTAGGTATGTTCAAAATTTTAACTTTTGTCATTGTGTGTTGTTGTTTACGAAAATGAGAGGACGAAAAGCAAATGTGTGGCGCTTTAACCGGATTCCAAACCAATGGTGCACATGGGCACCAGTATCCTGCGGGAACAAATGGTGTATGAACCAATTGTTGGTCACTGGCTTCCATGAGACTGCATCTCCTTACGATGCTCCACTGCCTTGTGGATCAGACCTTCAGGTCGAAGGCTCGGGGTGTGGCCCCCTAAGAAAACCACCTGCTTCGGTTTGGGCACCCGGACAATATCACAGCCCTCACACATATCGAATGAGATTTGTGTGGCGAATATGTTATTTGGTGCCTCCTTGTACCAATATCTATGCCTCCATTGTGGGTTATTTTCAGATTTCGTTTTGTAACGTAGACGATCAATTCTTGCTTAACACATATATTCAGCAAACATGTTTGAAATGTATTTAGTTGTCACTGTCTATAATCTGTCATCAATCACAGGTTTCTTCCATTGGTCCAACTGCAGCTTCTAATGTTTTCGTTCTATTACACTCCAAGTGGATTTTCATGTATTCACACCAAATTGTTTCAGAGAAAAGTCTTCAGTTTATATATTTTCACTATCCTGTATTACACACACTGTCTATCTAATGTAAGAATAAGATATTTGTGGAATTCACTTAATTTGTAATTCAAATGATTAACAGACATTGGATGAGAATCGTATGAAAATCAACTCTCCAGAGTTCATTTATTCTGAATAGTTACCTAAACAGTTCATTAAAAAGTTCACCTGATTCCGTTTGAAAATCAACGGTTTCTACTTGACTGAATAAGTAGTAATTTCACACATAATGAGTTTATTTGTACTGACTTATTATTTTTGTAAAGTATGATATATATTATAATAAGATATTACGAAATTAACAAGTTGAGCCGATTTCCATAAAAATTTCAGTAGGAAGTCTCCACCATGCAATTTATCTATGATAGACAGAAACGACCGGAAAAGCATTTCAAAAAATAAGTTCAGACTTCAATTTTTATTGAATGCGTTTTTCGACGAGGTACGAGTCGCTGAGTGTAAACAAAATGGTATTTGGCCTACTGACTGATTTTCATGTGATTTGTTTCCTTTCATTGAACTCCACTACGGACCCACTGAGAGTAACTCCTTGTTACTATTTTGAACAATGTAGTCTCTAGTGTTAACCTGGTTCTCTAATCTGAATCGTGAATCCAGGATCTGATGTAACACGACTAATCGTATCATCGTAGTATACTTAAGCGTGTGAGCGAGAGAGAGAGAGAGAAATGTTTAAACCATCCGTTGCATCAGTTTCTTTTCGTCTATTTTCATGCAGATAAGGTTTCGTTTTGTTGACTGTTCCAAAACACTGTCCGCAGAACGTATATTTATGCACAATAATAAAGCAAAGTCATATGAGTGATGATCGTGTATCGTTGAAGAAATTGAAACAGCCACACTTGTGATAAGCCTAATAATATTTGTTGGCGTTTACTTCTGAACCAATCTACACATTAGTTGTCATAACAAATACAATGCATAATTCACATATATTGAGAGCACCAATATTTGAAATTAGGAAAATGATATGAGCAGAGAAAAAATGGAAGCTATATTCGAGGACTTAATTTCACTTAATACAAAGCTTGTAAAGCTAGGATTTAGTTTTTTCCACAGTTTATTCTACTAACCATAAGCGTTCGTTTGATGTATGCTTCACTGTGGTATCCCTTTTTGACCCATCGTTATTGTAGTTTAAATGTGATCTTTGGTATTCTATTTTTCCACAATAGTACCTAGTTTGGTCACAATTGTATTTTCTAAGTGTTTGTGCTTTATGGTCGTATTAGTCATCCATTTATTCATGTATCGTTTTGCACTAATCTGAATAAGAACCAAATCGGAGTGTGAATCGGAATGGGGAGTAAATCGGGTAGTGTTCCAGTTGACTCGTCTTCCCTCCCTCTCTCATTTTTTAACCGACCAGCCACTCTATCATGCCAAGGCCATTATCATGATTGAGACAAGTTACGCTCCGTATATTAGCGCATGGACAGATCAAAATTTAACGGAAAACAAACTTGCATTTTGTACACAATGTGTGTTTTAAATAAAAAAGTGGTCATATGACACATGAGTTAATTTTAAAAGTTCTAAATGAGTATTCAAAATCCTTTATATTTGACATAGTTGATCAGCGGACAGTTGAAAGATGTTGGATATTTCCTTTTCCGTATTCTTTTATCGTGGACAACTTTCCTGAAATTTATAAATTTGTAAAATTAAATATGCGACACTTGTTACATCTAAATGCATAAACATCAAATCATGAAACTTCCAATCATGGGTTTGACGAAGCTGACGCAGAGAAACTGGCGACCATAATAACGTGATGATGTTTGCAAAATTGGAACGAACACGAATATACTAAACTCACATTCATTTCCATAAATGTATTCCATGTGAATGTCTCGGTTTTCAGAAGTGAGGTCATAATCAATGGTTCAGCAGGCTACAAGAAATTGTGGAGCACTTCAACTTACTCAACAGACAGATATGCGATCTGATATCGGACACTTGAAATCATAGTTGGCGTAATGCAACCGCACTCTAGTTATATCTCATTAGAAGTCTTCTCATAGGCATACAATGTGTTCATCGGTCATGTCGATCTTAGCATTTCACTAAATGATAGGTGACTTACGTGACAAGCACGTTACGAATGTTACAATTTCGACCAAATAATTAGATGATGAATTTAGAGTTGTTATCTGCATTATGGTAAATAGTCATTCTAATGTTAGCACTTCCACACGCTCAAACGACGTATAGCATTCCGAGATGTTGAGACTAAAGATGGGGACTGTATATATCTGGAAAACAATTATTTCTAAACTGCGAACTATCGTTAATAGCGGAATTGTTGACGACAAATCTCAGGTGAGAAATTACATATTGAATTAATTGAAGTCTACTTAATATTCTGAAGCATACAGAAGCTACATCACTAGAGGCAAATGAAAATAAATTCAGTCGGAAACATGCATATTTGATCAACAATCGCCTGACTAGATTGAACCTAGTAGACCAGTTCTATGAACCAGACAATAGTTGCAGTTTCATAACACTGATTTGAGTCACTAGTGCTGGCCTTATCTCATCACACAAGATCAGTACTCGGGTAGAAGTATACAATTGATATGCATCTACTCGGAAGCCATACATTTGGCCGAGAGACTGAGTTAATCAAAACATGCAATATCGTCCTTAGTCGCTCAAATATTTATTGTTTATTGTCGAATACATACATGAAAATTATTTGTGTCAAGTATCTCTTCCGTGATGACATATGAACGAAGAGTAGACATGGAGATGTTATATTTTATCATTCGTTACATCATCATATTTATTCCTGGTTGATATGTCACCATGGAACGCATAGTGTACATTTATCTGCGTCACCTGGCATTATATAACAAATGAGGAATATATATATGTATATCAATAATAAAACACATGAAAAACACTTCAACCAACATTGCAGACAGATTGACATGGAGGACAATGTATATCCGTGGAAAATTCAACATTTTGTACTTCCAACTTCAAATGAGCAGATCGATCGCCAGCGCGACATGGGAAACTCTTTCCATTTATAATCACTTGAAGATCAGCATTTTTCGAACATTTATACTAAAAAGATCATTCACAGATAATTGAAGCTGTTATAAAGAGTGTTTTTATGGAATAAATATTTGAAGTACTCTAAACATATTGTACAACACACAACTGAAGAGTAGTGAACAATTGTTTTAAAAAATGCTGGTAAATGTTAGTTTTTAATCATGTTCCTCTTGTTTGAACGAAGTCGACAATCAAAACCTTCAGAAATACCCAATGTGATGATGATTTCATGAAATGTGCTAGTGTTGGTTGTTCGTGGATATTTCACATCCAATAGAGATAATGATATCAAAAATGAGTTTAGTTCATGCATGTGTATATGTATTCAAATGGTATTCTTGTCTTATTGTCTAGTTATATATTCCGAACTAATCGTGCTGAAACAAGATTTGATTGTTTATGAATATCAAAGAATAGTCGTTTTCCGCTTGAATAAAATCGATATTTACTTAATAATTCAGCATTAGTCGTATACTCTATCGAAATACAGCTATGTTTAAATAACACTAGATTGAGAGTCAACTTCGTGGGCACTTACTTTATGACATGATGATGTTCTAGGATAAACTTCATTTGTTGTTTTGTTTTTTCTCAAGATCTTTTCGTGATCGAAGCAGGTTGAATCTGGACCCATATCTTCTAGATATTCATTATTTATTAGATCTGTTGGAAAGATATAATTAATTATTCAAATCAGACCCAACATTTTTGAAGAAAAAGAGCATAGTTCGAAGTGTTGGTTACGAATTTCATCTAGAACAAAATGATACTTTCATTCACTGACTAATTTTGTTCTATCGGTATAACTGTACCTAAAGTTACAATGAAATCCAACTTGAATCCTGAATCTAATGTTTCTGGCTAATGATGTGTCAAAATTCAAACCAACACATGCTGTATGTATCATCAAGGTTGACAAAAACAATATCGTAAATAGATTAGATTCATATCTTATTAAAATTATCATTGGTATATGACCAAATTACAACGTCAATATTATTTCAATAGACAGTTCATTCACCAATTCAGATATATAAAAGCCAAATATTTCCGGCTACACACATTCTAGTTGTTTAATTATGTTTATACATATATTTGAATGCGCACTGTTGAGGAGTCCCGCAATAGGACGAAACGGCCGTCAAATGCTACCAGGTTTCCCATGGTGGTCTAGCTTCAACTGACTCATGATCTCAACCATTGAAATATATTTGTGTTCCTCATTATTTTGTTTGGGTTCCCTTAATATGCTTACATGTTATGCATAAAATAATCCTAATACGAGTACGTTTTAGATTCTTCTCATATACAATACATGAAAGAAGTGGATAAAACTGAAAACTGTACATGTATATACATGAATATAAAGATATTTTCCAAACTAAATTGAATGCTTTTATCAACAAACCTGATTTTAGGTTCAGATTGAATCTGCATGCTGATGTTCGACCATTGTATAGTTTGAACATCTGCGAAGAATTAAGCATAAATATGATAAACAATGTTTATAAACATATCAAATCATTGAAGAACATTTCAAACTGAAAAACGAATCAGTTACACTAATGTACATTGACCACGTCAAACTTAGGATTATATTTGCAGTAATTCTTCGCGATAGTGACGGTGTTATGCGTCGTACTTTGTTAAATACCAATTGTGAATGACTCTTAATGTTGTCTCTCTGTATTACTACCTTAGTGAGAAATACCATGGTTCTAGCTTGTGATTGCAAACATTGTTAAACGATTTCCCTCCATTTTGGAGACTATTCACATCCATTATAGAAGTTATCCGATATCATTTTAAACTTAAAGATATAAAATGCCATAAACCAGAGATGTTCATAATGTGCATGTGCGAGTTTAAAAGAATAATGAAGTTTCAAACTATTTAAATCAAATTCGTCCTGTTTAATTAGTTCAATACGGTCAGTAATGTACTGTTTGTACCTCAATGCCTCCTAAAATATAAATATTACAAAAAACAGTGGATTGTAAATCGTAGAGTATCACGTATGTTCTTTATCGGATTTGTTCCAGGAACATCGATATGAAACAATATGATTGAACGAAACGTTTGCAAACCAATGTAACTTACTTCATAGACAGGACAGTAATCATATATATCGGGACCTGAATAATACGTTTGTTTATCACGAGGTACATTAAAAGAATTATCGGCATACTGAAAGTGCAACGGCAGCTCAGTTTCCGAATCAAACAATGAACATCGACCTATTGCCCTGTCATAATTTATACATCTTTTTTCCCATGGAGTATCACAGAACGGCTGAATATCTTGTTTCCTGAAATCCAAAAGCGATAATTAAAAAAAATATTGATCTTCTTGAATTGTTTTAAGATCAAATAATATGTTTTGGTCACGTTCTATATTTTTTATTCAAATCGGGCTGGAAACCAATACCATGCGCTTCATGAGCCACCGTGTTTTCCATTTAGCAACTGAGTCTTGATAGCCATATGCTTGTACAATGGAGTGAAATTTAAATTCACTTGGTATAGTTTACTTGAACATTCCCATTGATTTTTAAGATTGCAATTTATCAGTCTCTTATTGGCATATGTGCATCTTGTGCGTATTGCCTCGATATAACTTTAACCCACGAGCATTCGAAGCAAAGATGGATATCAGCCATCAGTGGAACCCAAAGCTCGCGTTTCGTCTTATTTGGGACTCGTTAGCTGGATTCCACTGCTAGCCAATATCCATCTTTGCTTATAATGGTAGTTCTAACAATAATAAGATTATTTATCATTTTGAGTCCATTTCATTCTATTGAGTTTGAAGAATGAAAACAATTGACTATAGTTTCATTTGATCATTTTATTGAAGTCATTATCCAATATATTTCCACTGATGATATAAATAAACATTCATTTTCATTAAAAACACTTTAACCAAACAACGATTCTCATAATGGAATCACACATCAGCAGATGTCGTTTTCTAATGAATACTTTCTTGGAAATGAAAGATAGAAATGTAATAGAAATTAAAAACTATGTGACTTTTGTAAAGTGTTGTCATACTGGTCATACTGGCAACGAATTCAGGAAAACAATTTTTCACATTATCCATCATAACATATAAAAATGGTTCGAATACATATACAAAATTAAGATTCATCTTACAACATCTTCCTTTTCTGAATGAATTCATAACAGCTCTTCATTACGAAATCACAACCTAATCCTTTTCCCCATTTGAAATCATCGGCCATGGAATAGTCGACATCATACATGCTTTAGTGGAGTAAAATATATTCAATAAAAATTAAGTTCATATAAAATAATCTTTGAAAATTCTAACAGGAATTCTATGTCAAGTAATTTTTGAAGACTTTATAGGCAAAACTATTTGTTGTGGTCAGTATTCAACATAACGAATAAACTTCGTATATAGTTTGTTTTGATAGCGGTCACTAAATAACTCTTCAAAGATGTACTAAACACATTTATACACAGTGAAATGAATCATCGAATCAATTAACGACTAATAGCCAGGCCAGCAGAATGAATATATGTGTAGGCAGTAAGCAACGCTCAACTATGATTTGCAAAATGTTCACCAATTGTCTCCAAATGACTCAGACTTCATTGTTCTTGCACTTTCATACAAGTTGCATCCTGTTTCTATTCTTTACTGTTCTACCCTCTTGTCTCTCTGATGCCAGACCTTCTGTTCACGACTAACATCATATACTACTTATGTCAATATAAGTAGCACACACCACATCTTAACCACATTAAATGTGAACAAACTCAATTGCTCGTGAGTTGATATAAATTATTTTCGAAATAATATCAGACATTTCAATTACGGAACAGTCATCTCGTCACCTTGCAACCTGGTTGGAGCTCCTTCATGCAAATCATCAGAGCTGATTGTATGACAGTTTACGTATAAAGAATTAGTCTTACAAAAATACAGTGTGATTCAATTTTAATTTTTATATTTTATTTTATAGTAGTTTTGATGGATTTTTGTTCTCTGAGCTGGATGGTTTGGCTGTGGAGCTTTGATCGTTCTTCTGAATTGATGAAGTGATGAACTAATGAAAGCTTCACGAACAAACCATCAAGCTCAGAGAACAAAACTCCATCGAAATCATCCACTGGAACTGCAAATCGTCTCCACCATTTTAATTTTATAGTAGTTCATCTTTCTTTTCTTTTTATCACTAAAATATATTTCAACAACAGACCATGGTTATTATTATTGAAAACGACTTGGACTACTATTGTCATGGATTAATTTACCATGGTTGAATGTTTCCAACGAAAATGATTTAACATACTGTGACTTTCCATATCCATGAAACGTCTACATTATAGGTCCGACAGACATTATTAGAAATTTAAAGATACGGAAGTAATTACGATCATATTGTTTATTCACTACTCGAGTTGTTCACTACTCACCAGACTACTACATTTATTACTCAACATAATAAATTCGTCTAATGAGTTTTGAAAGCGTAAAGATTTAACGTGAAACCAATGAGTTAATAGATATTACATAATCACCCTTGTCTATTATTTCAGTATGTAAAACTTACTTTGTATCCTTAAAGTAAGCCAGAAGTATTCTGGAAACCAGGTTTGACTCTAGTCTATTAGGCGTCAAGATATCATTCTGAACATAAAATAAAACATAAATGTCAACATTGAAAATAAAACTTATCAAACGAAAAATGTGTGTTTATGTTCTTCTGTTCTATTCAACAGGTACAATCGTGAAGTAGCTTCATTCAACCGAAGATTTAAAATTGAAATGTTTGTCACGATGTCATTTTATGATAACATTATTTTATGTATGGATGTTCTGAATGTGAATTCACAAACTAATCCCACAGATCCAACGTTTATTGTGTTCATCATTAAATAGCCCAATATTCTATAATTAATATAGTTGACACTTCATTGTATATGAGAAGTTCGCTATGTTTTTTACTGTGTCTGTACTGAAACCGAAGTTTATTTGGTAGTAGTAGTCAATGGATTTCAGAAATACACAAAAAGTAATAGATGACATATCACATTATCTAAAATGTCTATGAAATCTGAGTCAAATAGAGTGAGTGTTAGACGCCAAAAAATAAGCGATAAAACTCATTAAGCGTGTTTCTGATTGTCATTTGACTTTATACGCTTCCATTTCAGTAGTATACTTGGTCAAAGCTAGCCTCCAGATGAATCTCTTCAATTCAAACTTAACAGATATAACAGACGATAAAGGTTTTCCGGAAAACTGTCAATCATATTGTCGTATCGATTAACTTTATGATCATGTCTTGAGAGGAATATATCAATCGCAAAAGTTACAATGCATCCTATTAAACTAATAACCAGTTGTTCTTATTTGTGTCCATAAACTATCATCAAATTTATGAAGTACTCCATTATTCTGGAAGACTGAATGACTGAAATGACATAACTTTGGGATATCGCAAATGAATTCACAAATTATGAAGTTTCACTTCTTAAGTGTTTTACTTATTTCTTTGTGCAACTATTAGTGGAATAATGGAGTGATTGCGTGATATAAAAGAAAAACTTACACCCATAACTCTGTGACTTAAGTGGTTAGAATCTAACTGGATTCCTGGAATTTCGTTGCAACCAAAATGCTTTTGTGCTTCAGACTTTCAATGGAAAACAAAAATAAAATAATATTAAATAATTTTATTAATGTCCAGTGGTAGACGAGAATTATGACTAATTTTTTGGTTGAGATCATGAGTCAATTGATGTTAGACCACCGTTGGATACCTGGAAGCACTGGACGGCCGTTTCGTCCTAGTATGGGACTCCTCGGCAGTGCGCATCCACGATCCCGCACCCCGCGGGATTTGAACCCAGGACCTACTGGCTTCGCGCCTGAGCACTTAACCATTAGACCACTGAGTGTCTAACATCAACCAATCCACGAAATTGCGCGACCAACTTCCATTGTACTAAGGTAGATACCTGTCTCTACCCGACACAGATTAGCTCCACTGGTCACGACTTCTCACTAGAATGCGCACTGCTGAGGAGTCCCACACCGGGACGAAACGGCCGTCCAGTGCTTCCAGGTATCCAACGGTGGTCTAACATCAATTGACTCATGATCTCAACCAAAAACTTAACAATCTCCACAACCCCCATACTGATAATTATGACTAAGTTGAAATAAATTAGTTAGAATAATCTGAGTTATTATAAACACCTGGGAGATTAATTCATTATTCAAGTTTCAGGGGTACGATCTGTTACATTTTAACTAGTTAGTGCACTAATGTTGGTAGAGTGAACCTCTAACTGAAAGTGACATATTTGTGATGGATTATCTTCGAGATAATTTCTAAGGCTTTACTTCTCATATCAACCCTTCTGATAACAATTACGAACTTAATCCAAACGATGTATAGACTTCAGATCACAATATAAAGCACTAACTACAGTTCATTATTGAATAACATAGTATAAATCACTAAGCCACAAGCCACCAAACGAGGAAATAGAGAGGTGGTACATTAGTCAGGTAAATTGATAAGATTAAAACATATGCATACATGAAAGCAAATGATACATCGAGAGAATTAGGCAAACAATATTTTAGCTAGATATCAAGCATACATGATCATGAAGACACGATAATAATAACAATAGAGTGACAATTCGCTATTGTCTAGATGACACTTTGTTAAACATGTTAATTGAAGGGCATGACCATAACGTATCCATATATTGTACTGACATTTAACGCAATATACAGATCCAAGTAGTGATTATTAAGTGATATGATGGCATTATGATTAATGCACTATACATTTATCAAAATTGAACTAATTCTGAAACTTACAATCATATTTGGTAATCTCATTATCGTTTTTTGTATATTGAAGACCCCTCTAGCTGATTTCCATTTTATGGTAATATTTTGAATAGGACTTGGACTTAAAACAAAAGAACGAACAAAAATGTTAATTTATGTCCGTAAGTAAAGTATGAAATGCAGCTCCACCTTGCTATATCACAGTAACACTTATCCAAAGACACTTAATGGATATGGGAATAATTTTTCCATTGAAATCAGTTAAGTGATATTGTAATGAACATGAACATGAGTGGGGACAATCGAATGGATTTAGCACAACAATAACAGACTATCTCAATAAAATCGGAGTACCATAAAGTCAATCGTCAATTTGCAAAAGTACCAATCCATCATATCAAACTGGACTGTTTTCGTTGCAAACACTAATCCATTGTACATGCGTTTTCTTACAAATTCCATTGTGTTCTCGCTCTTCCTTTCTTGATCTTCACCTAATCTTCTGGTGCCAGATATTACGTTTTAACTCGCGACATATACTACTTATATCAATATAAGTAGCACACACCACAATATCACTTTACGAATATGATCAAATGCTTTTTAAATGTAAATATGATTCATGATTTATTTCACAAAAGTTAGTTTTATGTTATCCGACATAAGAGATTAGATACTTAGTGACAAATGGAAAAAGAAGGATGATTTGGCTTTAGACTTTTGGATTGTCTTAATACATCTGTAATACACTCTGTATCTGTCAGAACAATGAATAATATTGACAGTGAATTATCCAGTCCGATTAGTTGATGAATGGTGAATTAACTCTACCTTACCACCTGGTATATCCCGATGAGAATAATGAATTGTAACTGTTGGAACCTATTTGTAGACTACTACAATATGTATACATTTATTGTATAATTGTTAAGTAACTAAACTGTTCCTTTTATCATAGGATTTGTTTTGATCTATGAAATATTGTTATATCATTTATCATTCTTGAGTTACACCCAGTCTATCAATTACTATCTCCCACATTTACACCTAAATATTGTACAACTGTTATTATCCATTTTATAGTAGAATGTGGTCTGTTAGGTCTGTATATAAACCCAATATATCTGAAATACATGTTTCCTATTGCAGAGGCTGAGATTGGTTTTCTGAACTTAACAGGAAAGATAAAGACTCTAGACTGCTTGTACTAATTAGTTTTGAAGTCATCTAGGCACATGTTCAATGCCCTGGTAGGGCCAAGAGTGGGGAGAGTCCCCTCTCTCTCTCTCCCTCAAAATGCTCTCACATGGCCACGCATATATAGCCTCTGCCAGGAAAGTCCTACTCACTCCCTTCTCGTGGCGGAGGAGTTGTTTACGAAATTGAGAGGACGAAAAGCGAATTTCGGGCGCTTTAACCGGGTTGGTGGACATGGAGAGTCCACCTGGGGGAGTTGGAAAACCCTGATTCCAAACCAATGGTGCACATGGGCTTCAGTATCCTAAAGGAACAAATTGCGTATGAACCAATTGTTGATCACTGACTACCATGATACTAACTTGTGAATCAGACCTTCAGGCCCAAGGCTTCGAGTGTCGCTCCCAAACAAAACCACCTGTTTCGGTTTGGGCATCCGGGCAGTATCATAGCCTTCACACATATCAAATGACATCTGTGAGGCGCATATGTCTTTGATGCCTCCTTGTACTAATATCTATGTGTCAACATAAATAAATAAATAATAAGTCATTAGTTTAAGTTTTCCACTATTACAAATATTATTCTTCATATTACGTATGTAGAAATCATTAGTGTTGTCAGGTGTTATAATATGTGTAATTTTGTAGTTCTTTTATAAATGTCTGGTAAATCCTAGGCATCAGCCTTCATCTCACAAACTTTAATCATCACAATAAATACCCCTTCAAATGTATGACATGAAGATATTTTGATGTGAGATCCAACTGAATTAGTCTTCATACATAACTCTTGAAACTTGTTTACTGTCAGTTTTTCATTCGATGATGTTATATTGTTCATTATGTACGTGTTCTAAACTACACCATTAGTGATCGGAGAAAAATGTTGTACTAAATGCATACTCATTATTACATGAGGATATTATAATAACAATGTAAATAGAAAACTGTCGGAGATCAAACCAACTCTTAGTAATTACATTACGTAAATGCTTACTCATTATTGGATAATCGAAATTCAGGTTTCAAACGCGGTAAGGAAGAAAAGATATCACCATGGAATCCCTTAAAAGCAAACAGAAATAAATTCCGTTATGTAAACAAATTGTAATCCAACTTGTTTGTATTTCATCTTGATATTGAATATGATATGACAATACCTGAAACAAATGCTTATCTCTTTGGAAAACAACATGGATATGTAGAGTTATGGTCTATTATGATATTAGAACTAGTCTAATAATAGACGTAATCTTAAAATTGTATATTTGTCATGATATAACTGCCTAATCTATAGGATCTTACCTGGAAGTCACATCATCGACTACACCAACTCACTGTATCATATCAATTATCAATACATGATGAAGAACAAGCTTAGGCTAGAGAAAGAACAATATATTTAATATGAATAGAAGATATAAGGTAACATTCAGCAGAGACCACGCCTGCATGGCCGAGACATGCCATTCGATCAACTCCCCATTCATTCAACTCCTTGTTGGCGCCTTCTCCATCGTTAAGTATTGAATATCTATTTTCCGAGTTGTCTCGTGTTCAGCTTTGAGGATTGTGTGGTTATGGTCCGATGCCACTACAGTTATATATTAGAGGATCTTTTGTCATAGCAATTGTTATATGGCAATATAAACATCATCTATAAGTCATAGATACCTAATCATTTCTGTAAGTAACGTATTTTGGTATTTTAATTTCGTAGTGTATTTTGGAATGCTTTGAACTTCTCAGTTCATTTAAACAAAATCGTCACAACGAATCCCTGGAAGTGTTTGGTACCATGAAGGTATAAGATATTAAGTAACTAAATTGATGAGATAAGGGATGTTCTATATTTTCATACGACTCCTAAAATGTAGATAATACTAACTAAATAATTTAGTCTATTTTTGCATTAACAACACACTGAATAAAACGTTATCACTTAGTGTAAGTATTCATGCGTTTCATCGGACAAGTATTAATCAGAGACTTACCAACACATGACCTAATTCATGTTTGGCTGTTAAAATTAGATCATAATCCTCCGTTTTGAGAATATCGTCCACTGATGGGCAAAAGTTCACAATACCCACAAATGGCCTATATGTGTATATATCAAAACAGACTACTTATTTTCCATTTACGTAGTAAATGATTCACAAACAAATTTCAAGCTAGAATATTCTTCATATTAACTTTAAAAATCTTTTTTCTATAGAAAATGCTTGATAAATTTGTACTTAATGCTCATTTTTGAAGCTCTTTGACTTACCCAAACTTCAAAATCATTAAAATTAAAGAAACATTCAAAAGCTACTTCAAATCAGCAGAGGATTATTTATCTAAGCACTCAAAACTGTGGGTTTATATCCACTGAATCGTGTTCCAAGTCTCCAGTTTACTTACAATAGACCATAATATCATTTAATTCGATCGGTGATAAATTTCGTTACTCATGTGACTGTAATCAGCAGTCAAGACTTCTGACAAAGACTACAGAAATTCGTCTCAAAGCTAGTCAATGATCAAACTTTAATTATGTGTACTTTATCTACTAACTGTATTCATGGAGATTCATCATTATACACAATGCAAACAAGAGTGAAATTATCTTTCGAGGTATTTATACACAAACGTGATGTTTTTTTGTTATACCTACAACAAAAGCTCATTTTCGGACACTATCGACAAATGTTTCAGTAGTCTTCTACTGAATAAACTTTGTTCAAGACATCATTTGATAAAATTAACAGTTAAGTTGGATAGAGGATTACTTACAACATACCATTTTGCACAAATACTTTGAGGAAACTTAATGTGTAAGCCATTAGAAGTATCAGCCAGAACTCATGAATGAAGACATTTGAATAATGTCTTACAGATTCAATCTCACTAAGTCGAAATGGAAATAACACGTATGGAATTTGACTGTAATAACAGACAACATTAACATACAACATATGTTTTCTAGAGTCAATGATTTACAGCAAACAAAACATATACAATAAACACCGGATAAGAGAGGTATGTGAAGATCGTCAATAATAAAATATGAAAATTTATCTTATATAAAGAGGTAAACCTATCAACCAGCCAACGCAAGAGTTTGATAAACAGGATTACTTATTTTAATATTTTACATAACCATCTCATCTTAGAATCTCAATTGTTTCGACCACATATCAATAATATGAGATGAAATGGATTAACTGATTATGACGACGTGGCCAATTTTCGCCATTCTGTGATTGTACAAGTTTCCCATAAAGATAGTAGAATAAAAACAATTACACATTAAAATAACAAGTGGTCAATGAGAATAACTTACCTTCCATTGGTTGGATCTCTGTCACAAAATGAAGCCCATGCAACTACATATTCATCACAGACACCAAAATATACATTTTTCACAAATAGTACTAATTCATTTGGAGCTATTCCTTTCCCTTCAGGAAAAGCCAGAACATTTTTATTAGATTTTTGTTGATAGCATGCCTAAAAATAAGTCCACATGTTGTGTAAAGTTATATGGACATGTTCAAGCATTTCATATACAGTTAATATTTGTGCAATAATTCACTTATTCATTCATTCATTCATGTTCTGTTTATATTAATAACATTAGAAACGGAGCTATCTATTCAAGTAAACTATTCTAAAAGATGAATCCAGTGAGAAGTTAGCTTTCATCACTGACTTAAAACTGGGATAGTTGGTTTTTTCCAAACTTAAAACTCTTCTCAATTTTTTGCTTACTATCACGATCAAATTCTAGTATGGTTTAATTTCACGAAGAGAACAGTTTACAGTTGAAATCAAGTCCTTCATATTTACCTATCTCAATCGACTTAACACATAACATGAGAGCCGTCAGATTTTTCTATTTATTGAATAACTCACTCAACTCCTTATTAACCTTAAATATTCCATCTGTGCCAACTAAATCTGACCCATACTTCCTGGTAAAATCCAGAACTAGATGAATAGATGAATAAGATATAAAATTCATAGTATTTCGTAAAATAAAGATAGTTATTCAAATGAGCTCATGCTTATATTTGAGTGAACATCAACTCTGCGATACAGGTACATCTAACTGATAAGTCCCAAATTGGATGAAACGCAAGTTCTGTATTCCTCTGCTAACCACTACCCATCTTTACTTATATAATATCTTGTTAACTTAATTTGACATGCTGTCAGTATAAATATTGGCCATTGAAGATTTTATCATGGTAGTCATTTGTTTGTGAGTTATTTGTGATTTTGACAGATTCAACTCTTTGATTGAGATCATGAACCAATTGATGTTAGACCACCTTTGGAAACCTGGAAGCACTGGACGGCCGTTTCGTCCTATTGTGGTACTCCTCAGCAGTGCGTATCCACGAGCCCGCTTGCGGGATTCCAACTCAGGGCCTTCAGTCTCGCGAGCGAACGCTTAACCCACTGGACCACTGAGCCTGCATCCGATGGTGATAGTGTCTAACATCAACCAATCCACGAAATTATGTGACTATTTTCCATTGGACGAAACGGCCGTCCAGTGCTTCCAGGTTTCCAACGGTGTTCTTACATCAATCGATCCATGATTTCAATCACAAGCTTATTAATCTCCACAACATCTATACTAGATTCAACTTTTGTCTGAGCACTGTACTCCATCAGAAATCTTAGAGACTACAGTTTAAATAGAATCTGCTACAACTAACAAACAGTGATGTAAACTACAGATCAGATCTAAGAATTACTCTAAATGCTTCTTTCATCATCAGATGACTTCAACAACAACAAAAAAACTTGGATAAAGTTACATGACACCAATGTGAATACAAACAATTTTTCTACATAGCACAAGTCAAATTATACAAACACTTACAGATAAATAATCATTGGGAATTTTAAATTCATAACATTCTTGACTTTGTTCACATCCACCCACATCACAGTATGTTTGTTTCTCTTTTCCAGGAATTATCAATCTATTTTTTACACATTCTCTGAATAACAAAATCATCGGATTAATCATAATTTTGCAATTGTTAACACATACATGGTTGTTTAACATTAAATACAAGTCAATACAATATTAGATTATATTGTGTATTGATTACCATTAGTGGATATTAGAAGGGAGGAGTTGAAGTTTTGAGTGGTATCTGCTATTACACCGCGTATTTCTGGATCCATTGCTTTGGAGGCAATGATTATGTTCTCTGGTCCAGGATTTTGAACTCCAGCCAATCGAATAAGAGTGTCGGCTTGATCGATAGTATATATCGACTGATACTTGATATTGAACTCATAGCTCAGGAGCATTATTGCTCAGCGCTGTAATCTATTAGTCGTATAGACAGGAATTCCAAAAGTTGCGATTAAAGTTTTATGATCTCTCAGTAGAGTAAACGTACGACTATGGAGCATTTTATGAAGTATTTTGACAGCAAAAATGATTGCAAGAGTTTCTTTTTCAATTTGGCTGTAGTTTCGCTCGGCTAGGGCGGGTAATCTAGCAGCATGAGCAATTGTCTCCTCTGATTTGTCCGGAAACACGTGAGTTATCACTGCTCCAACTCCATGACTAGAGGCATTAGATGCAACAACAGTTCCCAAGCTGGGATCGAAGTGAGTCTAAAGAAGCTTTGAGCTGAGCATTGATTTGATTCTGTCGAAAGATGCAGAGTGAATACTCATTGTATATCCTAGATAAAAGACTACTATATTGAGAACAGGATTGAGCACATTTTCAACATTATATTCGTAGATAATGTCAAGGGGTCGACATAGTGATCGCCAGTTTCGGAATAGTTTATGCAAAACTTGACATTAAAACAATGTTTATGCAAATCAGGATCAATAGTATGACTAGCTTTACTGTAAAAACACTAGTATTATGTTCATATGTAAATTGTGGCCAAAAACTGATATAGACATCATTTAATAAAACATTATAATTCATAATTTACCTACGAACGAGTAACGATTCTTGTTTATCTACATTGACAACCAGTGCTCTCTCCCAATAACTGGAAGCACTCTCAATTGCGTTCTGTCGGTGGGAATAAAAACAAGCATAGAATTCTTGACAGAAAACGAATGATAACAGAAATTTTTGTAAAAATAAATAAATGAAAAGTGACAGTGATTGCAAAAGACTTTAGGTAATATAAATGAATGCAGAAACTGAGAAACTGTCGCTGTCGCTCTTGTAAAGTTACTGACGGTCCAAAGTTCACAAAAACGAGGTTTGGGTATGGGGTCGGTAACCTCATCACGTAGAATCAAATCTTGCTAAAAAGATGCTAACCAGAATAAACCATACAAAATCTGTTCTGGGAGTTGAATGATATTCATTCAAATGAATCGCGACGCCTTATGATGAAAGCCAATAATCTTCTTAAGTCACGTGTCTGATGCCGTCTCTAACAACAATTTCTACACGTTCATATAATGTCCAGACAACTTGAGAAACCAGGAGTATCGGTCAAATAGCAACGGAAACGAGGTGATTCAACTTGACGGTGGAGAAGATAAACAACCACAGAAAAAATTGGGAAAACTGAACAGTCGTTCCATTTTTTCAGTAATTCTCTAAACTAAATCTATCTTTAATCTCAATGAAATTAATCAATATCAACCATCTCGTGTATCCACAAAATTGTTCGTCATTTTAGTTATGAACATATTAATAATGCCGACATTCGGAAAATGAACTAATAATTCCGACTTCGTCTAAAAATAGGCCGTTTTCCAGCTTGTCATACCATAAACATCGATTTTTCAAAGATGATTTCTTATGTAAACAAATATACGGAAACAAACCTTTATTTTTGGGAATGCTTTACTTCTATGAAGTTCAACATCATATATTGGTATAATTTTCAGATTTCTGCTTTTCAACAATCTTTTTTCCGTATTCTGTGAGTAAACGCCGTCTCTCTAAAGTACTCTATAACTGAATTGTCATTTAACTTACCGGTTTTCTAGATTCAGCAACTTTGCAATGACGAGCAGATTCAACTGAACTCAACAACACAAGGAGAATAGGAACAACAACGCTGATTTTCATCATGTAACTCCAAAACCTAACTTCTGTTGTTTTATAGTAACTGTTTACGTTGACAATCTCACGAACACTTCTGCTTAATTAATATATTTACAAGGGGTTCTCATGATTTTGTTGAAATTATTTCTTTTGTGACTCCACTTCAACATGGACAATTCAAATCTCAACATATTATGTACCTGTAAGAGTTACTGATTTTCGGGTCAATTACTGACCCTATCTTAGTATCATCAGGACAATAAATTATACAAATGAAAATCAGTCAGGTCAAGTGGATAAGTAAACAATATTTCATTTTACAACATCTTATTCTTAACTCCAGCATTCATCGCTCTCAATGTGACATGACATCAATGTACAAATTTCATTTTAATCTTATTTGTAAATTAGGCATTACAAGAACCGTAAGATAACTGATGAATTATATTGAAAAAGATGCATTGTGGATTCAGGTTAAAATGATCTACTTAAACAGCGATCATATTTGCAAATTATCATTTGGAATGTCCTGGATACTGAGGTTACATCAATTACAACATTAGTTAGATATTAAGCAATCCTTCAGAATGTTAAATCTTCATGACAGCCAACCAAACTATTGGGTTCGTGTCATACACAAACGCCTCCAAATGCCTTGTTACGGCTTATTGTGGGGAGAGTCTGCCCTCTGTCTCAAAATCCTCTTACACAACCACGCATATAAATCCGCTGCCAGGGAAGTCCTAATGAGTGCATTCTCATGGCAGGGCTACTGTTTGCGAACTTCAAAGGACGAAAAGCGGATTTTCGGAGCTTCAACCAGGTTTGTAGGTACAAAGGATCAATCTATGGGGGTTGAGAAGCCCAGATTCTAAACCTACGTTCGCATCAAACTACCGTTGGTCACCGGCTACCATGGGACTGCATTAACTGAAGTTTCTCTACTGCCTTGTTGGTCACAACTTTAGGCTGAAGGCTCCGGATGTGACCTCTTCAGAAAACCATTTGATTCTGACAGGGAAACTAGACGGTATCAAAGCCCACACACAAAATAAGTGAATGTGTGGCACACATACATTCGGTGCCTATTTGCATCAATATTTAGGCGCTAAAATAAAATAAATTCACAGATTCACATACGTAGAATATTTTATACATTTATGCAGATATGTGTTTATGGAAGATTGAGATACAAAAAAACTGAATGAAGTTGTAGTGGCATTGGATCCAAATCACACGACTTTTGAAGCCGAGAATATAACTCCTGAAACGGCTTCTATTAAACAATCGACATAAAGTGCAGGTTAACAGTGGCGAACACGCGAACATTATTTCAGTTCAACATATGGCATGGCTCAGTCCGGCATGTGACCACACATGAAGCATCAAGTAGTTTAGTAAATAAAATTCGTTTGCAAACCTACCAATTATTTTATGGAATTTAATGCATATTGACAGAGATGTAATTGAAATAGAATTCTAAAGCACAAAACGAAGGCTAAAAACGGAAAACACGAGAATATAATTTCAATTCAATAGATGACATGGCTCAGCCTGGCATGTGTGGTCAATCCTCCCTTAAATGTGTTCTCCATCATATATTAGCTATTGTTACGATACAATGAGTCACTATAGATAATGACGTGACTTCCACGAAACATCTCATAGATTAAGCAGTTACATCATGACAAATCTACAATTTCGTTATTGGGTCTATAATAATAACGCAGTAGACCGTCATACTACAATTTTACATCATTGTACCATTTATGTTGTTCTCACTTCACATTAGTCGTCATTAGTTTGATAAACGTAAACTCTTGACTTCATGTTTCTACAAAGAACTCAACATTACTATTTGTGACTACTTTTGACGTTCACAATTCACACGTGTTTTCCATGTAGTTAGTTCATTTCTTTGTGTAAAACACAGTTTATATGTGTTTAACAACACTAAAGATATTTTCAATTTGATTCCTTAGGGTGTAATGGTGTTCTAATTCTGGTGTTGATTGTCGTTGTTCAATGCTGACTTGTTTTAAAAGACCATCATATTTGAATCACCTCGGTGCACTTGATTTATTCATGAACAATGAATTATCGTTCATGAAGAAGAATACGAATATTTAACCACGTGTTTTTCACATAAATGAAATTGTACCAACTCAATCCAAGAAGAGATAGTTTTCAGTAATCATGAACTTTGAGTGCTCTTAGAAAACAGCGAGAAACATCATAAGGTGTTATGTATTCCTTATAAACAACAAACTTAATTTGATATAATGCCTTATAGTGAAGACAAGATACACATGCCTAATAATTGTTTCGTCATTATTCTTATTAGCTTTATTCAATATTATATTTCGTCTGCATAAACGCATAGTGCAAATGATGTGCAGTTCGGAGTCAATTACGTATTGGCACCAAAACAAATTGTATTTATGAAAGTGTTTTGACGACATCCTAAAGTTAAGCAGTTGATAAATTCGTTTGAAAACTTAAAACATACTAACACAGACCAAAATCAGTTCACGAGTACAAACATAGCTACACTGCCACCAAAACCTTTCCTATTCCTTGATCGATACTGACGATAGATATTGAAATCTTGTAGTGGTGCTAAGCAGTCATCTTGTAAATCATTTAATCAAGCTTCTTGAATTGTGGTTACACCACAGTTATGATATATGTTTTGGATTAGTAGGGATTGAAGATTGTCGACTAGAAATTAGCAGTTCGTGAATCGACAACTCATTAATGTTCATTCTCCTGAATGCATGTTACGAGCCACAACGATTTTAGTGATTGTACTTTTTGTGCCTTGTAAAGCAATACGTTGCAGACGTTTTATACATCGCGTGAACAGGTCAGACAAGTCTTAACTTCAAAGGTAATAATGTTGCTAATACAATCAACAGGAGGCTTAAAACTGCGCTAGCCAGAACCTATCCGGCGGCCAAACTTCGAATTCTGTATAAAACAAC